CACACACACACACACACACACACACACACAAATAAGTAAATAAAATTTTAAAAGAACAACAACGAAAGAAGCAGTGTTACCACCTAGTGAAGACTGTTCAGTGGTTCAATATAACCTTACTTATTTAGATGTACAGAATGCTGTGTGGGGGAGTTATTTCTGATGTTTTGTTGTCATTAATGTCACTTTGGTGGGCACTGCTTTACTGACATGAGTACATTTATGTGTATAGTTGGGGTCTTAGATATAGAGTGGGTTAGGGACAGGGACTGTGTTCCATGGAGAGCAGGATGGGTTTCTGAGCAGGGGAGGTGCATCTTGCCATATCTTGCATATCAGCTTGCTGCACCCTTTGCCCTGGGTCTAATGGGCACTTCCTAGTGCTGCTCTGTGCTCTGCGGGTGGCAAATGCTAGTTATTTCTAGAAGTTGCCTTGGGACTATCCAGAGTGGCTATGGGAAGATCACGATGTGGGGACCATGCTGGAAGAGGGAGAGCAGGGACAGGGCTACTGTTTTCTGTGGCCCAGTGTGGAGCTCTATAGCAAGTCTGGGGGAGGAAGGAGGGAGCTGTGTGTCATGCTAAGCTTTCCTGTTGGTTTTTTTTTTTTAATTTAATTTAATTTAATTTTTTCAAAGTTTTATTGATAAACAGCAATGAGACAGTTTCAAATCAAATTGGAAGTACAGTTTCAACAAATAATACACTGCATATATTCTTCTTAATGGTTAATTGCTGTACAAGATGCTGACTTGTGATCCTATTTACAAACACCATTAGAACAAATCATTCTATTCATTAAGAGAATGGAACTATATATCTATCCCAACCACTTTGAATACACAGATACAAAATGGACATTCATAGGTATACACCATTTTTCCTAAGTTCCGTTATTGAATATTATAGGTGTGTAAACTCAGCAAAATATTCTAAAAGTGTCCAGTAGCCCATAATAGCATTGGGTCTTCTGTTTAACTGGCAATGTCAGAAATTATTGACTTGAGTCCCCCACAGCTCAACTTAACAGCATGGATTTATTTCTTATATTTCATCTTCATACTTTTCTACTGGATGGTTAAGACCAAGGTAAAGCAGGACCTATGCAACAAGAGTTGTAGCTTTTTGGTCTGAGAAGTTCAGCGAAATGCCCTCAGGATTTATCCTGAGATCCTGTACCTCAGATTGTAGAACCTTTGTCAGTGCAGCCATGTGGATGAGTCACGGCCATTGCTTGGTCAATGTGCCCTCTGTGAAAGCCTGAGAGAGTGTCTTCTCCCCATGTGACTCTCCTTAGGCACACTCTATGTCATCGATCACTTTCCTCTTTGGCCCCATAATCTTCTTGATCAGAAAATTTGGGACACTACCGAGGTACATGACGTTACAGTACAAGTTCTCATATGTCCTGAGTCTTAATTGACCTTAGAAGGCTAGGGCCAAAATGTTGGCTTTCCTTGTAGCCCTCCTTTTTCTCTAATTTTGGTCTGCAAACTTAGGTTGTTAACCATCCAGAAGAAAAGCTTATTGTTATTATCAAACGATTTAGGCTATCAAGCTTAACCTCACTATCTCACTGCATTTCAAACATCTTAGGCCCTGTTGGGTTTTGAAAGCACACTCTCAGGAAGGTGGTTCCATGTCAGCACCTCAGTTTCAAGGTCAGTTTCCTGAGGACAACACAGAGCTCAATGAAATTTTCCCCAATGAGGCATCAATTCTTTCTCTACCAAATTCTACCCACTGGTAGTCTTCTCTTTTCTTTCATTTTCCTTCTCCTTTCTCCCTCCTTTTTCCTACACTCCTGTCTTTGCTTTCTCTTGTTAAATTGTGTGTGTATAGGGGAGGTGAATTAGTTGCTTTAATAAAAACTGGAAAAAAATAAAATGTGTGGAGGAGTATATTAATTTTTTGAAAAACTAATCATTTGTCCCTTGTTTCCAGTTTAATGGCTGCACAGTATTTCTTTCACATCTTCTCTCTCTCTCTCTCTCTCTCTCTCTCTCTCTCTCTCTCTCTTCTCTTCTCTTCTCTTCTCTTCTCTTTTTCCTGTATTTTAGGGAAGGGTCTACAGAGTGTTCAGGGTCTCACTACTTGATCAGACTTGTAGTGAGTCTCCTGTTTATAGCCTCCCAGAGCTGGGATTATAGGTGCACGCACCATACCCAGTCTCAATTGCCATCTCAGTGGGCCCTAGGGGCAGGGCTGGCAGGACAGGCCAGGGGATAGAATCCTTAGCCCCTGTGCCTACTTGCACATGCTTTAATCTGTTGAGCTATTTGCCTGGCCCCACATCTTTTCTCTTAAACATTAAATATGAGGTGATTTCCTGCTTTCTGCCAGGCTGTGAGCTGGCAGAATCAAAGATAGAAGAAGGCATCAACCCTGTCATCCAGCAGCTCCAAAATGTGCACGTATGGGGTTGTTTTGTGTTCTGTCCTTCCTTCCCAGGAGAGAATGCTTTCCATTGTTACAAAGAGATTTGAGCAATTTGACCACAGACATGCAGTGTGGCTCTCTCATCTTCCTGCTGTTCCCAGGACTCTGGGGCCTGGTGAATAACACTGGCATCTCCTTCCTCTCTGCTATCAATGAGTAGCTGAACAAGCAGTCATGAACATACTCAATGTGTACCTGTTGGGGCTCATTGAGGTGACTTTGAGCCCGCTGCCTTTAGTGAGGAAGACGCAAGGCCATGTGGTCAATGTGTCCAGAGTCATGGACCAGGTCTTGCTCTTTGGTGGAGGCTACTGCATCTCCAAGTATAGTGTGGAGTCCTTTTTGGACAGCCTCAGGTACTGATCAGTAATGGTGTCTCCTGGTCCTCCTTTCCCCATTGTTTTGGAGAAGCCCGTTTCAGAGTTTCAGTTATTTTCCCTTGTAGAAGTCCATCTTTGAGATCCTTCCCTCTGTGTGTAGGAGTTTCTCAATTCCCCTTTCTGGGTTTAAGTGGCCATTTTTGGGGACCGATCATTTCATGAGTTATGTATTGGAAAGGCCTGAGTTTTGTTAAACTTCTGTTTAAACTTCTTTCTTTTTTTCCATTCACACATGGAAAGCCTCTGAGGTTGAATCAGAACAGGAATGATTTGTGCCCAGAGCCAGACACGTATTATATGATCCAGCTGGCCTGAGTTTGCTTATCCAATTCAACAGCTACCTGAGGTTTCTTACCCAAGTCAACAGATGCTTATTTGGCTTTTGTTTGCTTTTATGTGAATGCCTTCTAGTGTAACATCAATGTTGTATTCTTGAGCTAAGTAAGAACTTCTGCACATGTGTGAGATGAAGAATAGCCCTAGAGTCCTCACTGCCATGTCTTACTGTGGTTCTGACCAAGTCAGCCATGGTAACCCCAAGAGCTACCAGATACGTGTAAGTACGCTGGTCAGATAGGCACAGGTAGGCTTGTAAGGGCCTGATGATCCTGGACAGCTTTGGACTTCATGTTGTTGGTAGTATGCTTCTGGGAAAGGATTGAATTAGGAAGCCCCCTGGGCCAATCAGAATCCAGGGACTCTGTTGGCTGTAAGGCAGAGTTGTCTCAGATTGTGAGTTGCTAGGACTGCATTCAGGTTGAGCCACATTCCCTGGAAGGCAGGGAATGATGAAGGCAGTAGCAGGAGTTCAGCTGAGATCTGGCTGGGGATCTCCATGGGCTAGAGATGGGGAAGAAGGACCTGATTTCAGCAGAAGAGACACAGGCAAAGCCTGGCAATCCATTGATACAAGAAGCACACTGATAACTAGTGTTTTATTTTCTTTTTGAATTAAGACAAGTGTCTTAGTTACTCTTCTCTTGTTGGTGTGACAAATACCTGACACTCAAAATGAAGGAAGGAAAGGTTTCTTTAGCTCACAGTTACTGGAGGTTTCAGTCCATATTCAGCTGGGTCCAAGGCAGAGCAGCACATAGCAAAAAGCAAACTTTCATAGTGGTGGCAAAGAGCAAGAGCACGGGAGGAGTAGCAGCAGCTCAAGCAGCTAGCTTCTCTTCCCACCTTACATTGTAATGCAAATTACCCACCCCAGTACAACTGCAGCATCCACACCCACAATAATCAATCACAAACTCCAGAAGCTGCCCCAAGACTGCATGAGGCTTTGAGGGGACAACTATACACAAACCATAACAACAGGGTATCACTATGTAGCTTAGACTAGTCTGAGGGCTATGATTTTCTTACCTAAGTCTCTCAAGTGCTGGTTTATAGGATTGTGCACCATATCTAAAGAGAGATAGGTTTTAATATGTGCCTTCTAGAAGAACAGGTAGAGTAGAGCAATAGACTGGTATATGCAGAATGCTTGAAAAAAATGTTCACCTACACAGACACAGTGCTATCACCATTTTGTTGAATGCAAGATCCTTCACATGGTAGATTCTAAGCTTCCAAATTCTTCCTATCCCAATCTTATGCTAAGCTATTGTGCTCTGTTATTGTTTTTGCTTTGCCTACCAAGATTGCTGAAGTCTATCTGACCCTATGTGCTTTGAGGAGGGAGCTCTTCTATTTTGGGGTGAAAGTGGCTATTATTGAGCCTGGTATCTTCAAGACCAATGTGAATAACGAGGAAATACTCATAGCAAGTTACAAGAAGTCATGGGACGAGGCCAGCTCAGAGGCCAAGGAGATCTATGGTGAGAAGTATCTTGAATCCTGTAAATGATCTGTGCACAGTAGGAAGAGAAGCAAACCCTTGCCTGGAATCCTTAGTGTATTACCAATGTCTTCAATAGCATGAAGTCTGCCCCATTTTCAATTTCCCCACAGAGTGAGGACATTCAGCCTTTGGTGTCACATGGATTCTGGACACCTAAGGAAGGCCTTTGGCTTATTAGAAGTGGGGGCATTCTTTCGCCTGAAGCCCTTGTTATCAAGAGGATAAAACTGAGGAAGGAAGGAGACACATGGACTTCATGGCCCTGTGCCATGAGATGCATCTTATTCCACATGACTGGCTACTTTCCAGTGTTCAAGAGATCTTCAGTTTATGCAGTCCATGCCAGGCATGTTTATACCAGCTCTCAGGAGGCTGAGGCAAGAGGATCACTTCAAGTTCAGGGCTAGCATGGGCTACAAACTGTGTTCATAGCCAGACTGAACTACATATTAAACCCTGTCTCAGAAAGACAAACCAAAAAATTATGCAGCTCAAATATTCCTAGAAAGAGAGGTGGAGGTGGGTTAGAGTAGAAGTGTATTCTGTTGATAATGAGTTGTGCCCCTTCCTGGGGAATCTGGTTGGATTTGATTGGGAAGGGATGGATATGGGGAGCATGAATTGCTAGAGTAAAATTGCTTCCTAAGTTGATCCTAGAGTAGGAATGGTGCTAAGTATAAATAAATTTGAATCATCTTTCTTTTTGTACAGCCATACAAAATTTAATACCAATGGAGCAAAAATGCAAAAGAGACCTCTCCGTGGTGACAGACTGCATGGACTGCCTGTCACCCTCATACCCGTACTCACTGGCTGGGATGCCAAGCTCTTTTACCTCCCCATGAGCTACCTGCCCATATTCCTGGTGGATGCCTTTGTGTGCCTGCACTCCCCAAAGCCAGAAAAAGCCCTATGAAGCCTATTGTTGGGTGTATGTTTGGAGAAGATGGATAATGTGTGTGGTTTGGGACATGTGAGGGAAAGGAAGTGGGTGGGAGAAAGTAGCCCTCACACCAGGGTACCTATCCTACCTTTTTGTTCCAAAGGAATCTTCTCAGGTATTAGTTAAGACTGGTGAAGTGAGAGAGAAAGAACCAAGCACTTTTGCTGAGGAGTAGGGGCTCAGCATCACTCACTGATGCCTCAGAGACTTAGGAGCTCAGCAACATGGCCAAGCATGAGGAATCTACACACCTGGGGGACTTGGAGTGAGAGAGAGTGTGTGGAACCCATGCCTCACTTGCCCATTGCCTTCCTCTTGAAGGGATACATTGGTGTTGGCTGCTGTCTATCTTCCCCCAGTATAGACATGGACCAGGTGATGTAGTGGTCTCTGTCCTCTAAGTCATTGTGTCTGTGGTATCAGATGGGAGGGCAGCACCAGTCTATCCCCATGGGCCTTAGGTCTTGGTGGGGAGGTCATTTCCTCAACCTGGTTGCTGGCAGAGAAAATAAAATCAGTTAATTTGCTTAGTTGAAGTCATGGCTTTCTTTTGATTGCTTTTGATTTAGCATAAAGGAGAACTTTGGGTGTTTGAACAGATTACTCATTCTGTGTGATTTGGAACATTGCCTGGAGGAGTCGTGGGGTGTAGACCACAAGTCAGAAGTGTGAGGTAAAAGAAAAAAAGTGTGAGGTGCCTTCTGCGATGGTGGGGGAGCTAGGGGGTAACTTGTGTGATTACACAGTCGTGGTGGGATTATCTCTACCCTCTCTCAGGCCTTCCTACCCCAGGATATGTGACATCTGTTTCTCTTTTAAAATTTCTAAGTGGCTCTGAGAATTAGACTGAGGAATTAGCAAACAGGGAGATATGAAGAAAGGTCTATAATGTCCCAAATCTCTATTCAGATAAGCTGACACCATTCTTCACAAGCAGAACCCCTGTCCAATGTCCCACAGAGACCAACCTTCCACTAAAGGACATTTTGGTAATGATGGGTACCATTCTTCAATTGCCCCATGTCTCTTCCACTTGCACACTCATCTAGTGGATTTGATGCAGACTCACTACAGGAAATGAGTGTTTCATTATCTGCTCAGCCTTTGTTCAGTATCTCCTGTGTTCATGGTAGCAATGGCAACTACCCCTGGATTCCTGAGACCTGGATGCATATGCTTCAGTATTGTGATGCTGTTCTCAGTGGAGGGCTGAACTGAGTGTGTGTATGCAAAGTCATAGAGATTCCTGGGCTAAGTACAAATTGGAAATGAGAGCTACTCCCTCCTCTTGTGTTAGCATCCTTGCCTCAATATAGTGCTTGAGGATCTGAAGCCTTTAGAGAACAGGGCGTTCTTAAAAAATGACCAGAGTGCATTGTGAAAACAGAAAGTTATGGCCCCAATTCAGAGTAATTCATTTTATTTTCACTGCTAAATAAAACATTAAAATCATACTACTTTTTCATACTCAGCATTGAACCCAGGCCTTCCTCTATGGTAGGCAAGAGGTCACTACTAAGTTCCTTTCTGGTACTTTGTATCTGTATTTTGAGGGGAGCCCTTGCCCAGATCTGAGGAGAAACTTCTTTCTATTTAGTTTTCTTCTTCTTCTGTATGCAGACTTCTTCCTGAGCGTGGGCGTGGGTCCTTTCGGGCAAGAGTCCGATGCATCTGAGGGCACAGGATGCCACAGGGAAGCACTGCATGCCTCACTGCTCCATTGTCTGTAACAAGCACAGGGTCAGTGAGTCCTAATTGGAAGTCTACAGCTCCTGGCTAGCTTCAGTCTCCTGATTACCTACAATTACAAGATGACCCCAACATGTTTTGCTGTAATGTATAGCACCTATTAACTAGCTCCTGGGTGATGTTTCCAGAGTGATCTATTTTAAAACTTGCATTGAGTATTGGGTCAGGCATGGGAATACTGAAGAAATGAGGATTACAAAGAAGAACTGAGGTGCTCTTAATCTCAGAAAGGCTCAAGCCAACTCATTCAAAGTCAGTTCACATTCTCCCCTCAAAAGCAGAGCAAGACAGATAGCCCGGTGGACTAATGCACCTGCTTCGGCAGAGCCCAGTGGCCAGGGTTCTATTCCCATTGTACCATGGTGGCCCCGCCCCTGGGGGAACGCTGAGATGATGATTGACACTGGCTGTGGTGGCACGCATCTGTAATCCCAGCACTTGGAAGGCTGGGAAAACAGGAGAATTACTATGAGTCCGATCTACATAGTGAGACCCTGTAGACCCTGTACCAAATACATTTTTAAAAAAAGTAGAGCAAGACCTTCATAGTACCAAACCTTCTGAATCTTGTAACCCTGACCCACACACACATACAGACAGCACCCCTCCCCCACAGGAAGCACACTCACAAGCACAGAACATGCTGACATAAAGCTAAAGGTCACTGAGTCACTTTAGAGCCTGGTGGAGCAGATGTTCACAAGACTTGGACTCCCATCCCGAGTCCTATCTAGAGGGTCAGGAGACCAAGAGGGTACAAATTCCTGTGATCCATGCTGTGGTGCATGAGGGTGGAGCCACTCAGGCTGAATTGACAGCCCTCCCTGACTCCAGGGTGGCAACTTGCTCATGACTAAGCAGCAGAGGGGTAGAAGGAAGTGTCCTGTAGAGCAATCTGAGTCCTCAGCCCAGATCTGAGGAGAGACTTCTTTCCATTTCTTCTTCTGTATGCAGACTTCTTCCTGAGTGCAGGCGTGGGTCCTTTGGGGCCAGAGTCTGACTCATCTGAGGGCGCAGGATGCCACAGGGAGGCACTTGATGCCTTTACTTTGTTGCTCTGCCTTCTGTGAGAAGCACAAGGTCAGTGACTCCTAATTGGAAGTCTACAACTCTGATATTTTGCCCTTTCAATATATGACTGCCCTTTCATTTGTGGTTTCCCACCTGAGTAGGGCTTAGAGTAGGATTGGATAGTGGTGTACATAGCCCTCCACTTCCTGTCCTTTCCAGCACTTCTGTGTCTCTCCTTCTGCTAACGGGTCATCCTGCTCAGAGATGGAGGAATGTGTGCTGTACCTCTGAGGCTGGGAAGAGTGGTCTCTGTTAGGTTTTTTTGCGCAGCAAAGAAGCAGAAGTAAAAGAAGGCCAGCTTTATTATTATCAGGATATGGTTAGGATCTCAGGCAGATGGCAAAGAGCCTCTGACCTCAGAGAAAGGGGATCTGGTGTTATATGGATTTTTTCTAAGGGCCAAGTTTGAGTGGTAGCTTCAGTGACACTTAAGGAGCTGATTCGGGCTCCCTGTATGCAAAGGAAAGGTTAAAAGAAGTTGTACTGGGACTCAAGGGGATTGAGGTGACAGTCTTCCCGGGTAAGATAAGCTGTCCTTTTTTGGGTTTCAGCCATTTTGAATCAGGGTCATAATAATGACCTGTTTAGCAGTTTGTACTCTGGCTGGCACCTACCATTCTTTTCTTTTAGTTTTTTATGAAGGGGCAATGACTGTTTTAGAATGCTTCCTGTTGAACAGGGGTGTCGCTTTGGGGGTAGGTAGGATTGACAGGATTACATTCATGCCCTTGTAGAAGCTAGTGCCAGGTGTTTCAGCCAGGACAAGAAGTTCATCATTAGTGAAGGCTCATCTGAGGAATTGAAGAAACCTTGTAAAAAGTTTAAAAAGGAAGAATATTCTGAGTAAAGAGGTCATTATCATGATTAAATGACCCAAAAAGAAAAGCAGAAAAAGCACCCATGATTTGAATGTGTCATTCCACCATGATCAGGGCCAAGGGGAAGAGTATCAGTTTTGTAGTTTTTGGTATTTGAACTCTAACCAATATGAGCTCAAACATGCTTAGGAAAGTGGGTGCCCTGGAAGTGTCCTGAGTCTAGTTAGAGCTAAGGGATGAAGCTGATGCCAAGGCAGGTGCAGTGCCAGGATAAGTTTGGCAAGGTGAGCTTTTAAAAGCCCATTTGCCTCTATTACTTTAGATCTACTGACTATGGCATATCGTGCCTGTTTCCAGTGTCTGTGTTTATTGAGCTGAAATCTTTGAACCATGTGCCAGAATAGGTACAAATGAATTATTGGTAATCCTGAGATCTAGAACTAAATGATAGGAGCTATTATGTTTAAGTACAGGAAGACCAAATACCATTTGTAAGGAGACAGCAAATTATGTTTGTTCAATCCCCGGTACTGGAAATATATAT